AAAAAAAAAAAAAAAAGAAAGAAAGAAAGAAAGAAAGAAAGAAAGAAAAAAAAATCTACACACAGTTTTTCCTTTTTTAAAAATTATTATTTATTTAATTTTATTTATTCATTTATTTAAATTTGACCAGAGAGAGAGGAAAAGTGGGAAAGCAAGTCCGGGACTTGAACTGCGGTCAGCCATTTGGGAGTGTCCAGAGCCTTAACCACATCACCTGCTGGTTCTTCACACAGTTTTTTCACACTATGCGTTTTCCATGGGACGTAGGTGGCCCAGCAGTGCACGATCTGGATTGGGACTGTATTGGCCTGAGCTCACTTCTGCATCTGTCACTCCTTGTTGGGGTGAGCTGGCAGCTCATGTGCTCCCTGAGCAGGTTCCGCTCATCCGTGAGCAGGACTAACCGAAGGTTGTGCCGCTGCCTTCTCAGAACTGTGGGAGGGCCAGTGGGATGCGAGGTGCCTGAAATGCTCTGCGTCTGGCTTAGCTAGCTTCACGCTGTGGGGACCTTGGGTCCTCACTCAGGTAAGTGACTGGGCAGCAGGGACAAGGGCTCGTCCCCTCCCCAACCTCTGCCTGAGGACGCCATGCTGCGCTGTGGACCCCAGTCAAGCAATGCTTCTTGGACAAATAACTGCGCTCAAGAAATACTCTACTTGGCCAGCAGGTGGCATGGTGGGTAAGGCACTGGATTTTCACATGGCTGACCACAGTTTGAGTTTGGAACCTGTTGGCTTGAATTTCACAACAGATCAATAAGTACATAAATAAATGTTAAAGAAAGAAAGACTCTACTCAACACAAATAGGGCATTAGTAATAAATTAGAACTGAATCACACAGAAACTTCTTTGAATTGGAGTAAATGTGTGAATGATTTAAGGACTTACCTTGTTTTTTAGAGATTTTTGCTATAGAGCATGTGAGCTTGCTGGAGAGACAGAGAGGTACGGAGACAGAAAGTGAGAAATCACCCCCCAGGGCGACTGGCCATGCTGCAATCCCTCCTCCTCCATTCTCTCAGGATTTGGGGCACGCACGCACATGTGCTCAGCATGAATTTTAAGCCACTGAGTTTGGAACTTGAACCGCTGTCAACTACGTGGGAGTCCAATGACGTAACCATTACGCCATCTGCTGGTCCCTTGAGGGCTTATCTTCACTGAGTTAAATATAAGGAATAACTATGATTGTTTAAGGGAGAAAGAATGTTCAATATTATCAAGTACTTTTTTTTTTTTTAAGCTTTTGCTATAGGGTGTGTGTGCTCACAGGACAGAGAGAGAGAGAGAGAGAGAAGAGAGAGAGACAGAAAGAGGAACATTGGGAAACCACCCCCCAGAGGGGAAGGAACCCCTTCTCCTCTTGGGATTTTGGGCATGCACACACACACACATGCCCAGTGTGTTCTCAAGCCCTCAGTTCTGAGACTCGCACATTTGGCTGCAGGGACCCTTCACCTTTACCACCACGCCATGTACTGGTGCTCCTTTTTCAATGTGAAGAAAGGTGCCAGCCTCCCATTTCCACACTCTACTTTTTTTTTTTTTTAGAGAGGTTTTTGCTATAGGGCACGTGCACTCGCCAGACAGACAGAGAGAGACAGAGACAGAAAGCAAGAAATCACCCCCCAGGGGGGATGGCCACGCCGCAATCCCTTCTCTTCCATTCTCTTCTCGGGATCTTGGGCATGCACGCACACGTGCCTGGCGTGAGTTTAAGCCACCGGGTCTGGGACGCAAACCGCGGTCGACTACATGAGAGTCCAGCGACATAGCCATTACGCTAACTGCTGGTCCCTCCATGCTCTACTGAAAAGAGAAGTTGAATTTAGCTATCCTCACTCATTGCTCAGTCATCAACGGGGTGGGGGGATTTCCTGAGCACCTACTAAGCTCGGGGTGCAGCACTAAACAGCACAGTGGTGGACCTACCACCCAGTGGGGCAGGTGGACAGGGAGCCACACTCTGCATCCCAGAGTGACGCACCTTCTGCAGGGGCATAGGTCGATCGGGCTGGGAGGGACAGCCAGTCTGGTCCTAGGAGGCTGGCAAAGCTTTCTGGAAGAAAAACTTTGGCTGATACTGAAGGCTGAGAAGGGCAGGTAGTGTGAGCCAGGCTGGGGAGCACCACGAGAAGGGGACAGAGGGGACAGAGGGTAGGGTGTTGTCAGAGAACCAAGTGGGGAGCGAGAGGAAGGAGGGCTGAGTGCAGCTCAAGGTTAAGCAGAGGTCAGGTCTTAAAGGACTTGATCCACTCTGTGACAGAGACTGGGTTTCATAAATGGACCACGGTTTTATTTTATTTATTTCTTTTACAGAGATTTTTGCTATAGGGCATGTGTACTCGCCAGAGAGATAGAGAATGAGAAATCATCCCTCAGAGGGGATGGCCATGCCAT